AGCCAGAAAAGAGTTCAAGGTGAGCATCCAGAACTGCGTTTACAACATTTGCAATTCAACAGAATGGGACACACTGGGAATGAGTGGATACTATTGTGATAGCTTTAGTAACTTTATTGAGGAAATAATGATTTGACAGTGTAAAAAGGATGGTTGTGGTTCTAACACACACTTATAACTCTTGATAATGACAGATTTAGAAAATGTGAAAATGAAGTCAATCCTCATGTTGGGGTACAGAAAAGCAAGTGAAAGGAGTGGTTACACTTGGCGTGCCCAGACTCTCTCAGTAAACGGGCTGAGACTGAAACTCACTGTAGGGGTTAACAGCTTCCAAGCCATCAATCTTTCTGTGTGAAGAAAGTGTGAAGATCAGCAGGCCCATATGGAAAACGTAGTTGTGCAAATAAAACCGATCTAATAGGATGGAGTGTGATTTTCCAATCCAGCATCATCGTCTCGGAATTTTTGTTCCTCCAGATACATGAAAAGCGAAATTGGAATTGTGAAAACTCGCAGCGATGGGGTTGTTTTTTTTCGAACCACATGCCGTATTCATTGTGTCGTTGTCAAGCGTGCGAGATGAAAAAAGAAACATTTTCCCGTGCTGTCAAAAAGTAGATTACAATTTAAAAACGAGGCCACTCTGGGTGACAAAATTATGATGTGTCTGTAACAGGAGGCTGCAGACGTCCTTTGAAGGGTCTCCTGTTTATGGTCTAAATACAGCCGATTATCAAGAAGTGAACTGAACTGGCTTCTTACAGTGTACTCCATGGGTAGGACTCATATTGTGAATCTTGGTCTGCACAAGAGTTATTTAGACAGATCCCATAAAATAGTTATATACTGCATATATAATCAAGAATTGATACTTTAAAGCCAAGCCACTTTTCTGATCTGTCACACTCCTCTTCTAGGTTAGTTAGTAGAGTAGCAGAATATCAGAGAACTGCAGCACAGATACTCGTCACAGGGAGGGTTAATAACGAAGTGCCTGATTTCCACTCTTGATGGAACTGGCTATTTAATGTAGCCAGTTAACCTTCTGGCATGAGTTTGGGAGGTGGAAGGAAACCAAAATACCTGAAAGAAGCCCATAAAAACAAGAGAAAAGCATGCAAACTCCGGAATAAAACCCAGAAGACTACAGGTACTGTAGATCTCTCTTTGGCATTAATGTCACTTTCATGTTGAAGAACACAAACATTTCCTTTTTGTGCGCGTACACATCTATCAAATCTTTAATGTTAATGTGTTTGTTGGAATATTTCAACATGTTTCAGATGGAGTTGGTTTTAGGTGGGATGGCATTAAGTTGTACTTATTTCAGGCAGTTGCCCATGTTTATTGTACTTGTTTTCCTTTAAATGCAATTTAAGACTCATTGTTAGTTGAATAAAGCAAGTGAAATTATGCAAATCTCTATTGCCTGTTTTATTTTAAATAACAATAAATAAAATCAACAGTTTATGGCTGGCTGTAATCGTTTGGCTGGCTCAGATTTGTAAAACCGCTTAAACCTTTTGTAGTGCTGATCTATTACTTTAAAGCTTCTCTGCGCATCAGAGGAACAGAAACAGCAATGCTATACAAAAAAAGTTAATTATGATTTGGTGCTTCAAACTGCAGTTCTTTGAAATGAAGAAAGAAAGGAAGCATACATTAAAACACTTTAAACAGTTTCTTTTTGTTCTAAATTAAATTCACAAAACACTTCCTATTTTTACCTAGAGCAAGAGCACACTGCAAATGAGCAAAGGAGTTGGAACATTCAATCATATTTCTATAAATATCCTGTCAGGGAAAGACGGATATCCCTTTTGACCACAAAAATGCACCATTTAACACTGATTTAAAAAAGACCTCTATATATTATACTGATATAATATGTTTAATAGTATTAACTTACAGCATACTATGGTATATATGATACAGTATGCAATCCCTTTTCTATGCATAAGAAAAACCTCTTATGTCTGCTACCCTTACATTCGACTTTAATGAGAGAGGACACAAAATTGGCCGTGTAATTAAACTCCTTGCATATTACATCGCACCACTCAGAACAGTTACAGAATTTACGGTCATCCCAGTGCCCAACGCCAACAGCTCTGGTTGCCCGGAATTGATGAACCCTGGGTGAAAACCTCTACTCGGCCGATTTTGTCTCTCTTTTCGCTTCATGTTATTAAGACCAGATGCCGAAGGCGGTATTAAGTGTTGGGCTGTTCGGAGGGGTGGACTGGGAGGAAGCTGCACGTGACAGAATAATCAATCCCATGTCGAGATGAGGGATAGATAAAGACCACCATGTCTATAATGCGGACACTCACTGTCTAGTTATTTCCATCACAGCTCTTAGACTCTCAGTCACTTGATGGATTTTTCTTCTTTTTTTTTTGCAAGCGCCAAGTTTCACACATTATATGTTAAACTAACACATTTTGCTCTAGGTTAACACATAACAGATTTCCTATAAAGGCCAAAAAATGAAATAAAAAGCTCAAGCTCACATGTTTAAAAAACTAAGGGAAGCTCATCTTTTTCCAAGTGAGTTATTAAATTTACAGCTTTATACGGTTATAATTACTCATTTGTCACGCAGGTTTGTACAGAGGTTATGTTGGTAAAGAAAACAGCTATTATTCAGGGTCCAGTGTTTTTATTTGATGTGCTGCGAACACAAAGCTGTACTGACTTTATGTACTCTTTCTTCATTTTTTTCATTTTTAAGTATCGGTATAGCTCATGTGGTAACGACAGTTCACAGAGGATCTCACCAGTGCATCAGCTGTGACACCAGTAAGAATAAACAAATTTAAGAGTCACACACAATAAGAAGGTTTGTGCCTAAAATATGTGTTGGGTTACCCATGGTTCTTTTCTGAGTTTATTATGGTTTTTGTGAAACTGAAAACGTTATTTTCAATTTTTTCAACCTTTCCAAATTTCAGTCTGGAAAAGTTTAACTTTATTGCAAGTAAAAAAAAAATATTGCGTTCTGTATTTCTTTGAAATTAATAATACCCAAAGCATCATAGAAATATCTCAACCTCAAGAGTGTAAGTAAAGGATGATTGTCTTTGTAAATCACCACCGTCTTCTTTGTCAGTTGTCTTGAGATATATAGTATTTACCCACCTGCCAAGCAAAAAATAATTCAGATGGCAGCTGACAATTTTACCTACAGTTTTCGCAGGTCTCAGATTTGAACAGGCTGCTGCACAGTCTTGCTTGTTTCCTTGTTTCCTACCTTACTGAGTGTGGTGTGGAGATAAAAGTTCTCCAAGTTTTTATTGACTGAATCCCAGCTGTCATGTGACTCACGAATCCCAACAGAAATGGAGAATATTGAAGGAAATGTGTCTTGAATTACTTGTATTTTCTGAGTAATTCCAAAATTACTAAATTACTAATAAATATAATGCTAAAAGTTAGTATTATACATTTTAAGCCAACAGAGCAAACAAAACATATTTTTGAGGGGAGGAGGAGGGAAGAAGGAAACCAAAGTTCTCACAGATTACTTATTCAAAAAAATTCAAATTTATTCAAAGCTCATTTCTATACATTAAAGATCCCAGATCTCTTTTTTCATTCACAATGTTACTTGCAGTATTGGGCCCAATATGCTTCATGTTTTCTACACAAGCCACTCATTAGGGAACAGTAGGTAACTTACTGCCCTGCTTGTGTACCTGACATAACCTGGCCACTGTCATTCCCACCTCAGCAGGCACGTCAGGTATTACTAATCTGTAACAGAAGGACAAACGTCTTGACAGCTTTATGATCTCCCTTGGGGAACATGTCATTTCACTGTCATTTCTCCTGCTTTGACTCACATAAAGTTTTTATTTCACCACAAATGTTTCTAATTTATTAAGTAAGAGATCGGCTCGAAAAACAGCAGTGCTAATCATGCTCAGGGTTCCAAACCCAAACCCAAGGACTCAGATTCTGAATTGACCGTGGAGTTCGCAATTAATTTTCTGGATTTGCTGGGAGGGAATCATGCTCTGTCAGGGGAACATGAGCTCTGGGACTTTTCTCAGATGGATGAGTTCAGAAGTGTTTGGCAAATGTTGTGACAACATAAATATAATTTGAAGCAAAGAAGCTGACTGCAAGAAAATTAGGCATATTTCTAGTGAACGGACTTTGATTAGCAGGGGAAGGCTGATGAGAGATGAAATCCTTTTGGCAGAAACTGATATACTGTACTTTCCTGTCACATCAATACATGGGTCATGCTGAGGCCATCAGCCTTACGACAGATACAATGACTGTGACACAATGACAAAGACTGAAAGGAATAGACACAAACATATCAAGGCTGATTTTTTGGATCACAGGGCTGAAATATATAGGGCAAACCAGACTGTTTTACTAATGAGCTCATTAGAAGGTCAAGGTTCTGAATTTAAATCTGTATGGAGAGAGATAAACTGTTGTGACACCTGGATGCACTGTGATTTCTAACTTTGCTACCTTGCTCTAAGATGACAGTCCCACAGTGATCAACAGCTAACAACTACAAGCATTTTCCAATGTAGTAGGGCACTTCTGTTATAAATATTCAAAGCTGCCAAAGTACATTTTTTCTTAGAACATTCAGTAAAATACACTTTAAAAATTTACCAAACGGGATTCTCAATGTCGCAATAATACAAATATTGCAATATCGGTTCAACGTCACTAGTGCTCCAGTTAGATTACCATACAACAACATCCACTAGGATTTGCCAGGCACCTGCGTGCTCGCTGCAAGTTTGCAGTGTGCCAGCTCTCCAGTAAGGCTCAGCGGAGTGCAGAGCCTGCAGATCAGGAAAGAACGTCTGCAGGAATGCAACTGCCGAATCCGAATTCAGAAGGGATAAAGAGAAAAAAACAGTGGCAAGTAACATAGGAAAGTACAGCAAAATCATAATAAATGCGCAAAACCACAATGCAGATTCATGACAACCATTCATAAGGAGATGGCTAACAAAACTGACCTTCGGCCCCAGCTGAAATTGCAGAAGAATGGCCCGAAACTGGAAATGATTCACTCGATTCACGGGGCAGGCACTCTTGAGCTCTCAGTTGCCTCTCAAGAGCAAAAACAGTGGGCGAAGAGTCTTCTGTTAATAGTCCCATCACTCATCCTGACGAGCACCTAGAAATGAAAACAAGAGGAGAGGGTGAAAAAAGAGGACATTCCTTCTCCCTGGCATTAATCACCTTGATGAGTGCTTCTTCTTACACACACACACAGAAAAGTTAATAAAAGAAAAACCCATCACCCAGCAGGATGAGATAATAAATTTCATATTGCTAAAGAGCATGTTGTGTTGTCGTGTTTGGCACTGGCCACAGCCCTGCTCTTTCCCAGCACATTAATAAATCCTGAGGTGTTCCAGATCCTGTGGAGACAGCTTTCTGTAATATCCTGGTTTAAAGAGGCAGCAGGCACAAAGCCATGGACTATTTTTTATTACTTCTGTGTAAAGATAGACCGATTCCAGATAACGCATTCCAGGCGGGTGGGTTGAGGAGCTAACAGGAGGTAGTGTCAAGCCACCCAGGTTTAAAAGCAATAAATGGGGGCAGAATTAACTTTTTCGGTAAAATTCCTCCCCAAATCAGTCTCTCACAATACGTAAAAAAAGCAATCCCAAGGCAAAGTTTTTATTATTTAGAAGCCTCATTCAATAATTTAGACAAGGGCCTGAGACCTTTGTCTTCAGCAAACACTGTAAAGAAATCAAGTTATGCATTTGCAATACATACTGCTGAAATCTGTTGGCAACTGAAATTACATTCATGCTGAAGCCCTCCCTGACCTTGTTTAGTCAGCAGGGGTAGTTTCTGCTATTATGCATATTTTCTCCCTGTTGAAACTATATGAAGACTTCATATACAGTCACTTTGTTTAAAATCCTGATCCCAAGGTTAAGTATTGCATTAGTCAATTAAAACCGCACTTCATAATCCAAGAAAGTGCACTAGCACAATGGGGAACTGCAAACATATAACAAATAATAAATTATGTGGTATGTAGCTAGTATGCTGGAAACAGGTAAAGGTTTATTTCATACAGAAGAGGAAAGAGACATAGCACATTGTGTTTCTTCTCTTTTCAGCGTGGAATAAACCTTTACCTGTTCCTGTGCAGCCTATGCATGCTGACGCAGCTACCTACATGTCTAGTATTTCTATAATTACAAATACAAATTAAGAGATGTAAATTAAAGATTTAAGGCTGGATGGAATGTTCACAATTATTAAAATGTTCACAATTATTAATTAATTAGCACAATTAATAGAAGCTTATGTAAAATAAACTATATAATAATTGCATCAGTGGCATCTTCAGTGTACAGTATATAATCAGTAAGTCAGTAAGATACAAACAGCAAACAATAAGCTGGTCAGTTTACACTTCCTTTGGTGTATTCATAGATGACAAGACATTTCAAAGCATCTGTATCCAGGGTCATTCATCTAGACAGATGAAAAGGTTAAACGATACCAGGAACCTGATAAACTTCACTACTTCTAATGACTGTAATCATATAAGATAAGATTTGTAAGTTACAACTGTATACAGGGTAAAATAAAGTTATGTTTTGAGCTCGGGAGCACTAGAGACTGCAGGTAAAATTCTATGAGTCGGCACTGCAAAACAATTTATCCGAATTGTTCCAGTGAACACTGCAAAAGCAAATAGGAACCAGTCTGTGCTTTGTAAAAATGTGTGCTGGGTGCTAACATGAGAGAATCTTTTATGGTCAGCTGATTAACACCGCTATCTGGACAGGTTCACCATGGAGTTCAACTTTAACAAACCCGCATTATCTAAATTGCACAGAAAGAGGAGTCAGAATGAGTCTGGATAGGAAGAAAACAAGGTCAGTTTAATTGCTTTTCCTGCATCTTTTCAAATGCATGTGTTCTGACAGGGCCCCTGAGCTTTTCTGTCTGTTTGAACACACAAACAAGTTTAAGAAGCCTGTAAATTACAATTAGTGCAGACATTGTTATCTATCTATTCCAACATAATGCAGGGAAAAAGGAATTATATATTAACGAAAGGATTTACTAATCTTTTCCCCTTCTTCCTAAAAGGCGAATATTCTGTACAGGGAGATAAAATGACGATAAAATAAAGAAAGAAATAAACAATTTCAATCAGGCTTGATGGAAGAGGTTCAGTGTTGGAAGTTATGAACCCAAAGTGAGATGGTGGAATTGAGATTTCTAAAGTAGATTTTGCTTGTCAAAGTCCCAAGACTGACATAAAAGGGCAGGTTAGGTCTGTAACTTTTTATGACAGGTAAAAGTTGCCAACAAAATTGTCCCTAGTGAGGATATAATCTTAACAAGATGTATTTATTCTGGGTCATGGATTTTTGGAATACTTTCACTGCATTTAAATATGACCAGTGTGCTCATTGAATTCACTGTTTCCGATGATTGCTGTGACAAACTTTACACCCTGCATAAGATATTATGGGCAATTATAACATTTAAAGTTATTATGGTTAAAGGAAGCATTTGCAATTAATTAAAGATACAAGACATAATACTGTAGACCCAGCTACATTTAAATAAAACATATGAACTGCAAGTATTATGTTTAATTCAATCAAAATATTAGGATCCCAAATCTAACAACATTCTAGACCAAAATGAACTGCACATGGCATGTACACTGTTCTGTAAGGTAGCATGTTTCCTGGTGAATGGTCCATTTTTCCATCACGACTGTTTCACTTTGAGTTTGTGATGAGGGAAATGATGTGTGGGAGCATACTGCATTTTGCTTGTTCCACCAGTTATCTTTAGTATGGCGATCTAGGGTTTGTTCCGCAAAGGAAAGGTGATGGGTATCTTAAGTCCTCCTTAAGACAGCCATTCACTCCCTGCAACTGAAAGAGTCCAAGTATTTGATTGGGGAACAGCTAAGAGGCTTTGGAAGGAGGGAGTACAACAGCAGTTCTTTAAGGAACATCTGAGCTGGAGTAGTCCTGAAGGTCATTTCAAAACGGATACATATCAGGAAATGTATCCATTAGAACCCAGAACTTTGGGAACAAAATGGACAGCTTTCAGGAATACCAGACACACTGTGGGAAGCCACAGATGTGCAGCAGTCACGCAAGATGCAAAAAAGTGGTCAGGGCTGGACAAGATCACAGTGCACGAACAGTAACATTATTTCATTATGAAAACAGAGAATTTACCCAACCCGCTATCTTTAATTAAATACTGTATGTGCAGTCTGTGGGTGCATGTAAACCTCAGTGTCAATTCCTTTTTAATATTCTACATTATGTAACCTATTTTAATTTGCCCTGATTTATAAAGCAGCTCTGCCAAAATTGTGGGTTCTAACGTGCCATAGCGTGAAAAGAGAAAATTAGACAGGAACAGACATTCGTGACTTTGTTTAAAAATAGCTTCTCTTGTTCAGAATGTTTTCCACCAAAAGACTTAAACTGTATGAAGATTCCTGTTATAACACTTGAATCTGCCAGGTAAGTCATAGTAGGATACTCTATCTTTAAAGTCACTCATGTATATATATTGACACAAACATAAAAATTAATCTGAATTAATTTAAGGATGTTACGATAACCTATAAATAACAGCGATTTTACAGTCTGCTGTCACTTGGATTTGAGCTCTTCTCTGCTGGAAGGACAGAAGTGACCTTACCACTGCGGAACAGAGCTGTTAGTCTGGCCTCTCTGTTAAATGTTAAATTTGATGTTAAAATTGGAAGCTTTGGTCTTCATGGTTGAACCTTTGCTTGAAATTTACTCCCTGGCTGAGAGATCTCACAGAAACAGATTTGTTTATTCTGAAATCATGTTAGCCACCATTATTGTACACAGACAGAGGCAACTTAGGCTTCCCTTAACAAAGGGGGCTAATATGCAATCAACATATTTTACATGCATCTTTCCATCTATTTTCAAACCGTTTTATCCAATAATGAGTTGCAGAGGAGCCAAAGCCTGTCCCAGCAAGCAACAGGCACAAGGAAGGACACATCCTGGATGGGACACAAATCCATCTCAGAGCACACATAGCCCAAAACATACACACTCAAAAGGGGCCCGGAGCAACCCCAAACAAACACAGGGAGAGCATATGAACTCCAAGCAAATAGCATCCCACCAGTTGAACCCTGGATCCCAGTGATACAGGGCAGCAATCAAATGTTCTGGATTTTTGTTTGCAATTTTTGCTGACATTTACCTTCTCTTACACATAATAGTGTAGAGGCTGAGTCTCCAAGTTCAGATCATACCTATTCACTTTAAAATGTAGGGATGCATGCAGGCATCATTTATAATTAGACAAAACTGGACATCGGAAAGGGTGGATACCTCTGCTAGGCAATGGACTGTTTCTAGTCATGGTCACGTTGAATATTCACAAATATTCTTTTAATGTCTGTACTCTGCTACATATTAAAGCTTGTGGCCCCAAGAAGTAAGAAATATTAAGAAATATTTGTGTAACAGTGGAGCTGTTAAATTTAAGACTCATGCTTTAAAAACATATTGGTTTACCAGAAATATATATCTGAGTGCATGAGTCACCCCGGGTACAAACTTATTAATAAGCATTTATCAGAGATAATGCTCTCTCAGCACTGTGGAATGAGCTTATTTTGCTAACAATGACATATCCATTAGGAAGAAGCCATGTAAAGTTCCAATCAATGTGAGTTAAAACTTACCACATCATGGCTGAGGCATGACTCACATGGCTGTAATAAGCAGATGTTTCATCTGTGGAACATTAGCTGAGATGCTATCACAGCACTGAGAGCAACATTCTTTTCTGTCCTGTGGATGTCAATTTCCAAGAAGAGCACATGGATTATAAAAAAGCTGCATGGAAAAAAAAAACCTCCACATTTTCCAATGAATGCATCTCATCACAAGCACTTCCACTGTTTTGGCCAGCAGCAGTGCATTGGGCACTCGATGCTTTGAAATTCGCATCAAAGGCATGTTTTGGCGAAATGGAATGCTGTCGCAGCTGACTTAGTGCCTTGTGTCTGGATTTAGACTTTTACTTTTTTTTTTATTTACCAAAATCAAACCCATAATATTTTCTGAATTTCCAAGAAGTGAAAAACCATGCCAAGCACATCAC